TATTTTCCAGGTGTGTCTGATAGATCCCGGTTGTTTCCGTGACATTGATGAGCTGATCCGCTGTGAGACTAAAGGGAAGGGAACGCTGGAGGTGCTCAGTCTCAAAGATGTGGAGGAAGGAGACGAGAAACTAGAATAACCTCTCCATCTTCACCTGCTCCTCAAACCAACACTTTAAACTATTGCTGACTCCTTTTAAATGGAGAGCCTTTTTTTGATGAGTTACATCACGGTCTGAATATTAGCCGTTTATTCACAGCTGGGACAGGCTTCAGGAACAATATTAAATCTGGTAAACTCGTTTAAAAATAAAAAAAACATGTCCCCAAAAACAAAATTATGCTCAGTTGCAGTAATTTATTTTCTGTGAAAATGAAATTAACTTTGTTTAAAACCAATCAAAGTAATGATAAAATGAATATAGTGAGATTCTGTAAGAGTGCATTGTTTGCCACAATTAAATATTTGCTCTTTAAATAGTTAGTAATTGTGTTGTCTGTGCCTGCATTGATCAGAATGTTAAGAAATCTTTTATAATCTAAGCACACTTGAAAACTGTTCAAGAACTTGACTGTGCTGTTTAAACAAGTGTGGACACCACTACAAGATGCATCTTTCTCTAGAAGCTCATCTGTGTGTCGGTGTGGACTTCAGCTTGGAAAGAAATCGCAGGACTGATCCACAAACTCAGGAAGCTTGATCTCAGTTGTAGGTTTAGCGTATCTCTGTAAAAGATACACCGGAGCAATGTCCAGACAGCATGTGTGAGAAAAGTATTCATTTGGCAAAACAGTAAAGGCTCCTTCACACCAGAATCAATAACTATACAAGGCATGATTATTATTCATCAGCTGGAAAAAATCGCTGTAGTTGTGGTCTGGATTCTGTGGAAGCCTGTTTCTGCCACCGAGTAAAAAAAAGAAAAAAAAGGTAATTGTGACTTTTTATCTCACAATTCTGACGTTTTTTTATCAGAATTTGTTTATATCTAGCAATTCTGAGAAAAAGAAGTCACACTTGTGAGATAAAAAGTCGCAATTACCTAGGGATGCTCCGATCAGGATTTTTGCAAGACTTCTTTAAAAACATAAAACTAAAACTTTTGACACACACACATTTGTTTTTGTGAATTGTGGCGATGTTCCATAGGCGTAATGGTTTTTCTACTGTACAGACCGTATATTCTATTGCCCTTCACCAACCCTACACCTAAACCTACCCCTCACAGGAAACTTTCTGCAATTTTAGATTTTCAAATGAACTCATTCTGAATGATTTAAGTCTTTTGAAATATGGGGACAGTCAAAATGTCCTCATAAATCACCTTCTCGTTGTAATACCTATGTCATACCCGTATCATTATACAAATTTGTGTCCTCATAAATAACAAAAACGCGCGTACACACACATATCCTAAGCGTGAAAGTTCCGAAACTGAAGCTGTAGAACTAATAGAACGTGATGGCACAGAAGAACTCATCCACAATATCCACATTGACCGCCAAAATTATCCACCGCCACAAATATGCACCGCCCCCTGCCATAGAAATACACATCTCACACACACACACACACACACACACACACACACACATATATCAGAAACACACATCTCACACACACACACACATCACACACACACACACATCACACACATATCAGAAACACTCACACATCACACACACACACAATACTGATTGTTTTCTTTGCTCACACACAGACAGCGCATCTACAACTGATGCGACAACTGTACAGAGCTATCCATTTTTAAATAAATTTAGTAGCAGAGATACTGCAAGCGATTTTTAGTAGGGATGCTCCGATCAGGATTTTTGCAGCCGATAATGAGTACCGCTTTCTTGTCATGGTGATCGGCCGATACCGATTCTGCTGCTTCAAGCTTTATATAGACGGTTTCATCGGGCGCACGTGCCTGGCCCGAAGTTAACTTCCGGTCTGTGTGTGTTTATCAGTCTGGCTATAGCGCCGGCTACAAACGCAGTTAAAGTTAAGGTGATGAGTAGACTGAAGTTGGGCTCAGGTGGTTGTGCTGTGGGATGCATTTATTTATGTGTGGCGCTCGCCACAATATCAAAACTGACCGATTTTCCAAAAGGCTTCGTTGAATAAACATGAGCACGTACTGCACGTTTAAAAATCAAAACGAGGCGCGGGTGTTTTTATATCACTGTATTTCTGAACGAAGACTATCTTTAGAAAATTTTCCGTGTGTGTGTTCGTTCGCCTGATCGGGAAGTTGCAGTGACAGAAATGGATTCCAGATCAAGTTTGAAAGGAGTAAAGCCTGTGTTAATGCTACTGAGTGGGCTAATATGGCCAAAGAAGATATTTTATTTTATAAATGTTCATTTAAAAGCAGCCCACGATCAGCGTGTTATGTTACCGTTATCCCTTACGGCTCAGACGAAGTTTTGTTGACGTTATCAGATTGCGATCGGCCAAGTGTAGCGAGTACCGATCAAATCATAAAATGTGATTATCGGCCGATCGATCGGAGCATCCCTCTACAATTACCTTGTTTGTTTTGTGTTTTATGTTTTATTCAGTGGTGGAAATGTTACGGGCTTCCATAGGATTCTGTCTGCTATTCTTTAAAATTATAATTATAAATTATAATATTGTTATATTATATGTAATATAAACTTTTGTACGGAGTGGTTGTTTTTTTAAACTTACAAAAAAAAAAAAAACGAAAAAAAAACTTTATTTTCACATTATGTTTAATTGCAAAAAAATATAAATAAAAAGATACATAATCAACTCCATAAGTAACTATCAACAAGCAATAATAGTGCTGAACTACTGTTTTCAGTAGCGTGGCTGTGTTCAAAATAGTGCAGCTTTTGTAGAGAAAAAACTAAAAAGTAAAGTAAAAACACTGCATTCAGTGTCAGATTATATAATGTCATTTTTGAGCTCAAAGGTTTATTTTTTTATACCTTTTGTTATTTGTATTTTATCTCGTTAAGTTTGTCTTTTCAGTTTTGGACATTAACATTTTTATTCAGTCAAAGTCCTGCATTAATAACTGACACAAACAATCATATCATCTTTTAATATATAAAAAGAAACATTTTAAATTTTAATTTTAATTATTCTTATTCTTATTTACAATTTACAACAGTATATGTAATAACAGTAAAACATTGTCAATCCTAAAAAATGTATAAAATAGCACATCTGGGTTTGTAAAAGGAACGAGCTGGGACTGTTAGGAGCTTTACATTCAGTCAGGGGCTAGAGATGTGTTCAACACGGTTACGAGAAATACATGAAACATGACGACCGTACGGCAGATATCAGTGAAAAAACACAACGGAAAACACCGGAGTGAAAGCCCTAGAAAATATTTGCTTAGTCAAACACCACTGGAGTTAATTAAGGTCACTGCTTCTAAAAAGAACAGGGTTTAGAAAAAAAGGCATATTTGATGTGATGATGTACCTGTAGTTCTTCAGGTGTGTGTGTGTGTGTGTGTGCGTGTGTGTGAGTGTGTGTGCGTGAGTGAGTGCGAGTGTGCGAGTGAGTGTGTGTGTGTGTGAGTGTGTGAGTGCGTGTGTGAGTGCATGCGTGTGTGAGAGTGTGCGTGAGTGCGCGTGTGTGTGCGAGTGTGTGTGCGTGCGTGTGTGTGAGTGTGTGTGTGTGCGTGTGTGT